AAACTATTTTCAAAGTAATATTACAGTTTTTGCCATGTACCTGTGAGTGGCTTAAGCCAATCAGTGCAGAAGTGTAGTACTGTGCTTTCCACTATCAGAAATGACGTTTTTCTCTGACAAGTAGCTAATCTTGCAGTTCTTAATATTCTTGTGGTTGGTGTTGTGATTGGCTGATTCTATACAATTAGTCTTCTATTATTAGCTAAGAAAAAGGTCGACGAGGGTCGTACCGGCAACATGGATACTGATAACGAAGATTGTATGAGTGTCGTAAATGCTGCCATGGCATGTGCCAGACACCCAATGGTGCAACACGAAGCAGAACTTTGTACTCCGAAACAATTAATGAGAGACACGCCATTAGATATTGATAGACAAGTTGCTTTAGCGGCGACTGATGACCCAGCTAGAACCACTATCGTCCCGAGTAGTTCTAATCTGGGTGCTGAGATTGGTGGGAAATGGGTAACGCGGAAACGTAAAAGCGAAGGAAAGATACCAGAAGAGAGCGCCCGTATATTCGACAAGTCCTTGTTAAACTCACGTCTTGCGTATCAGGTTACTCAGCTTAAGTCCAAAAGGAAGAAAATATTTAGTCCTATCGTGGATGGGAACAGCTCGGCTTCACCAAATGTTGTTGTGAGTCACTCGCTCGACTCATACGACACTCTTAAAAGGAAAGCTGACAGTAAGAAGCCATTAACTAACATACAGGATCTGACATCACGGTCGAAAGCCGTAAACACGACTTTTAAAGAAGTTAAACAGGTCCCTTGTGTAATAATTTGGAATGTAGAAGATTCGAAAGACAACGACCCTGCTAAGAGATATGCACACAATCTGCAGTTAGTGGGATCTGTCATCAGAAATTTACTGCCCGATTAGGTCTCAGGGGCACATATAACGAAAGTAATCAGAATCGGTAAATATGTTGGAGGCGAGGCCCAACAAAGAAGGATCTTAAAATTAGTACTCGGTAATTTTGAGGAAAGAGATGTAGTATTGAATAACGCAAGCGAAATTCGTGATTCAAATATTAGTATTCGACCAGACTGGCCAATCGAGGATCGGATCAAGTAAAAGAATGCCCTGACAGAGTTAAAAACTCGAAAGCTAAACGGCGAAACGAACCCTACGATTGAGGGTTTTCGGGTAGTCAGGTCTTGGAAGCCAATGCTTCCGAGACCTTTATGCGTAGAACCTATGTTTCCAAAAACAACATTAATGTGTGTTACACAAATGCCCGTAGTCTTCGAAATAAGATGTCCGAGCCAAGTTTAATGGTGGACGAATTAAATCCAGACATAATTGTTATCACTGAAACTTGGCTCACTGTACACTGTTCTCCCATCATTTCAGGCTACATCTGTATTAGAAGTGATAGAGTTACAAGTCTCAGGGAAGGAGGCGTAATTTTATATGTTAGGGATTACTTTCGCATACACTCGATCATATCGGAGGCGCATATAAGTGGTACGTGTGAGGTAGTATGTTGTACAATTAGGTCTAGAAACGGGTTAGTGACTATAGGGGGAATATATCGTAGTCCGCGTTGTCTCGCTGAAGACTTTATCCTAAGACACGTCTGTTCTTGAAATAAGGTAGAATGTTGTCTCATCGTTGGGGACTTCAACGCACCCCATATCACTGAATAGAGCTCACAGCTTCAGGTGGGGATTTCGATAGCGTCCTAAGCTACCCTAAGCTTTGCCAAAAAATAGTGATTGCAGCTTACGGAATCATGACTCTGTAGTAAATTGAAGTCATCGTTCATTGTTACATGTTACTTGAGTCTCAAGAGTCGGCTGCCGAAAAGCACCCGATGATATGAAGTGATTTAATGATCCACATCTTCACCAAACTGTTTTATGAACCAACTCAGAGTTCTCTGCATCCTCAGCTTAAATCACTTAAGTCAGGCAACCTTTAACGATGAATCACACATCTAACCATGTAACTAAACAATTTTTTTGATCCTGTGGCTGCATCTATCCAGCGATTTGTAGATATGAATCATTCAAAAGAAATCAGTCTAAAAGTCTGTGTTTTTGTGTCCATCAGAATTCAAAATGTTATGTAAAGCAGCAGTCAAAACACTTAATCCACCTGCAGAAACTGTAAACAATTTAGCGATGGTAGTTGCAAAAGTAAACCAGGACAAAAACAATATATCAGTACATGCATACAGTGGTCGAAGAAAGGACACGTATTTAGGAAGTTCAAATTGCGGAGAAGAAAAAAGTGCACATATTTTTGAAGCTTCATGGAAAAATCGAGATATTTCTTCGTGATTTCTGGGGTTTCCTGTTTCAGCCACCCATTTTTTCGTACATAATGTCGAATTGCTGACCCAGGATAAGTGCAAATAGTTACCTATAACAGTGCTTCTTCCGTACCGTCAATTATTTTCTGGCATCACTTAGTTTATACTGGCACACATGATTTCAGATCAAGGTGCTTGTATTACTGGTTTACCCCCTCTGACTCCACTTGCTTAAAATATAATTAAATTATTCCCTTTTGAGTGAAAGTATGTGAGACGTTGGTTGAGACAAGTAAATTGATAAGCAGTTGATATCTATGGTGATAAAACTATTTTCAAAGTAATATTACAGTTTTTGCCATGTACCTGTGAGTGGCTTAAGCCAATCAGTGCAGAAGTGTAGTACTGTGCTTTCCACTATCAGAAATGACGTTTTTCTCTGACAAGTAGCTAATCTTGCAGTTCTTAATATTCTTGTGGTTGGTGTTGTGATTGGCTGATTCTATACAATTTCGAGAACATAAATTAACTGGATAACTTATTTCTTAGACCTGTTCAGTCATTTTGCAAAACTTTCTATATTCACTATTTTATATCAAATTTTAACCGCACTCCTTACGAAAATACGTTTTCTGGCTATATCAAACAGTATGCGTCAGTGACATCGTATTTCTTAGTTCACTTAATTCACTTGATCAGTAATTTCTGACTAAGCATTGTTCAGTACTTAATCACAGAGATTCCGTGAAAACTAAAATAGTTCAGAAATGTGAATCTCATCAATACAGAATTAATGTTCACATTGTATTTGCTTCATTCGATAAACAAAATTTCACTTGCACGAACAATGAAAATATCTCAAATTCACACTGAAACTAAGAAATATTGGTGTTTAAGAATTCACTAAAAAACCAAACTTATCTATTCATCGCTCTAGTGAAACAAAGCACGGACTAAAAGTTGCTTCATTTTTTAAAGTCTAACACAAAGATGATTTGTCGAGGCTGTTAGCACACCGAAACCTTTTCATGGAAAAATCAAAACCATAATGAATATCTCTGAAAACTTTCTTCTTCAAACGTAATTCAAGCTGTATCGGCAGTAACAATGTGATTTTCCAGTGCGTCTTGTAGGCATCAACCCGACAAAAATTATGTGCTGATCTTTAGAGACCAGACAATACGATACACTCTTACTACCATATAGATATATGACAACACTTCATTTTTTATCCACTCAAAATCCTGAATCAAAGGCCGTAACTTGGAGCCTTGTGGCTACTTGTGTATTATCAGTATGAGGTTGTGGAAATTGTTGAGTTTTATTTAAGATCACGAACCAATCTGTCTTAGGCCGTTTAGATCTAGTGTGGGACTTCTTAGCAGTGAACCTCATGTGCTCACTAGTGACTGGCTTCGAATTGTAATTCTCGGAGTTCTTTTGAGAAGCCGTAACCAGTGGAGTTCAACGGTGTCATGTCTGAGATAGCTACTCACTGAAAAAAGTGGAAGATAGTTGAAGCTAAACATTAACACCACCGGATGCCAGCTCAGTGGTCTAGAGGTTAAGCGTTCGCGCACGAGACCGAAGGTCCAAGATTTAAATCTTGAGTGCGGGATCGTCAACACTAATATGTTTTGACTCAGGGATCGAACGGTACAAAGTCACGCTGGTAAGTGCTACATTTTCCTGACTTCTTCATGTCGTAAGAGGAATTAATAACTTGTTAAACCAATTGTTATATTTGGCCAGTTTTGGGAAGGATTAATGAAGACAGTACACTGGGGTTCGTAGGTTCTTGTTTCACACCTGATAAACTGTTAAGAGAGGTTTCTAAGAAGCTTCTCTGCCTCGTCAATGTTTAGTCACTCAACATTATCTATCATTCGAAGGATATGAAAATCCTGTCGGTGCCATTAGTGAGGTAGATATTAAAGAACCTGAGGAACATAGAAAAATTTATTGCTTGACAAATGTAAACTTATACCGCCGAGTTCATTATGAAGTTGACAGGGGATCAATGTAAGTAGTTACAAATTTCACATTTTGGAAAGACCAATATAAGATGACGAAAAATATTCGAAAGAAAGTGGGTTCAAGTTAGGAAATTCCATCCTCAAGAGTAACTAAGTTGTCAGAGTTTTATTTCCTTAACAGTGAAAACAAAAACTTAACCGATAAAAGTCCGTAACCGGTTGTGAGGACCGTTAAGTTTTAGTGAAATCATCGATTGAATAACGTCAGAACGACACTGAAGCATTTGGAAGCACTGGAAACATTACCAACTCCAAATATTCTTAACGTGAGAAAGTAAGAAAATGCTAGCAACCATACAAGAGAAAGAGACAACGAAATTCCCATAGATTTGGGGTATATCTAAAACTTTCCTTGCTAAATAGTGAGATTTAAACTATTGAGGGAGCCCTCTGTCAGTATTTCATTTAAGTCAGTCTTGAAGCAAGATGTTCCTGAACATATCAACGGCATGTATTGACACTGGCAACATAAACTTAGATCTTAAAAATTCGAAAGACTTCACAGACAGACGTAAGGTCGATAATCTACTGAATGGGCATCAAAGGTACAAAAGAATTCCAAATCGAATATCTGTTTGAACGTTTATTTCTTTTACCTCATACATGATCAAAACCAAGATTTCAAGCTGGTGGTCAAATTATTTATTTATGATTAGTATTTTTGGAGTGTTTGAATAAGTTTGGAACATTGGACACCAAGGGTAATATTTCTTTAAATCGGTTCTGATTGGCGGTAGTTCACAGTAATTGAGCGTGGAGATGGTTCGTCAGTCGAGATCTGAGTGGAAAGCTGGTTATTTCAAAAAACTTGAGAAGCATTTGTCAGAGTTCGATAAGTGTTTTATCGTCAATGTAGACAATGTCCGTTCCAAGCAAATGCAACAAATCAGAATGGCGCTTCGAGGAAGTGCAGAGCTGGTGTTGGGGAAAAATACGCTAATAAGGAAAGTCATTCAAAAACAAATGGGTCAAGATACTACTTTGGAAAAACTTTTGCCGCATATTCGGGACAACGTTGGATTTGTCTTCACCAATGGCGACCTAACAGATATTCGTGAAAAAATTTTGAAAAACCGTGTCGAGGCACCAGCGAAAGCTGGTGCAATCGCTCCATGTGATGTCATCGTGCCAGCGCAAAACACTGGTCTAGGTCCAGAAAAGACAGCTTTTTTCCAAGCTCTTAGCATACCGACGAAAATTGCTAGAGGAGCAATCGAAATTATTAATGACGTCCATCTGGTGCACAAAGATGAAAAGGTCGGGATGAGCGAAGCTACACTACTAGGAATGTTGAAAATTCATCCGTTCACTTATGGTTTAGTTATCAAACAGGTAATTTATGTGATCCATCTAATGTGTTTAGGTGTTTGAACAAGGTTGCGTGTATGATCCTGCTGTTCTAGATATAACCCCCGAAATGATTTCCGAAAAATTTGCTGCTATTGTCCAGAATATTGCTTGTTTAAGCTTGGCTTTGGACTATACAACACTTGCTAGCATCCCACATGTGCTCGCAAACGGCTTCAAAAACTTGTTGGCTTTGTCACTTATGACAGATTACTCGTTCAAAGAGGCCGAACAGGTTAGTTTTATGATTTTGCAAAGGTTGTACTCGCGTTTACGACGGTGAACTTCAATTGAGAAATTCTGAACGTTCAGCTTTCAGTCCTTGCAAGCTCTACTGTAAAGTTATACGGCATCGCTAAGTGCAAAATGTCATAGTAATATCCTGACCTATATTCGCTTATAAATAAGCAGGCAGTTATTCACTTACTCAATTTTCGAGTAAGACGCAGTTTTAAGGTTGGTTGTTATAATGTCATGCATAGTACCATGCCAAACAGTGGTTTGTAGACAAGTAATCTAGTTTCCTTTCGAAGTTGCTAACTCGTTTTATTTTGTTTTTGAAAAGTAAACGTTTCTTGTTCCGTTACAGATAAAAGAGTTCCTAGCAGATCCTTCTAAATATGCTACAGTCACTACAACGGTTGCCGCCGCACCGGCTTCAACTACTACAACCAAGGCAGAAGAAAAGGCTGCACCTGTTGAAGTGCCTTCTGAAGAAAGTGACGATGACATGGGATTCGGTTTATTTGATTGAACATTAAATAAATAGTTAACTGGTTTCAAGCCTTCTGACTGCTATTCTTGACGGTTGCTAGGACTTCTTTGTCAGATTTATAATGTTTGCTAGATTCAAGCATTGCGATTCGTGGTGCGTACACCTGCGACCTTAAATCATGTTAGTAAACGTTACGTGGTATGCTAATGTTCATTTTAAAAGTCATGGTTATGTACCCTGTTTATACAACCATACCCTGTTAGTTTTCGGACTGACAGTTAGCATAGCTGGAATTCGAATTATACGGATACTTCTATCAGTATTAGAAGCTTCGTTTACATACTCGGGTTCTAAATATCGTTATTATTAGTGATGCTCCAAGTGTTTGGATCAAAGTCCAGTCTTCCGTTGATCAGCTTCGAGCTAAACTCATTTGACTTAGTAAGGGTCGACTGGATTTTTATCTGTTCTAGTCTACGTCCACATAAATCCCTATCCTGGCTGCAAACAGGCATAAGTTCACTCGTAAAAGAACGTGATCTTACCAGGGTTAGCGGGTGATGTGTTACTCCGTTTGTCATCCAATTTTCCGCCAGGATTGCTTAGAATGGACATTTTGTACTGACTAGATCCTCTTCCTTCATCGTCACTGGGGCCACTTATTCGCATTCTTGGGCAGGTGAACTCTAAGCACTTACTATACTGAGTCGCTAATAGCTGCGCCATCTAAGTTTGTAGGGCTAGGAATCTTATTAAAGTATCTTTCTAGTATCTGATACACATGTAATTCGCGTCCTAATTGTTACTCATGTCTTCCTGATGTGATATAATGGTTTGGACTGGGGTCGATATGTCTTCCCATGTTGTACACAACTAACCGTTTACCATGCTTATCTTATTATAGGTCGGCTGGGGTTACGTTATCTAAAATAAACCGGCAGCGAGTAAACAAACGTTAACACCACAGTATCCCGATCGGTCCGCTAAAATTTAAGCTATGCATTTTCTTGTATTGTACATCTATACTGTGGTACCTTTACTTTTAGTTGTTGAAGAATGGTTACGCCTAATGGTTGTAAAGAAAGACAAGTGTTTTTAGCTGGTCGCCTATAAAAGATCTGTACACATTCAGTTTAGAAATGGATACCATGAGGAAGGAGCAACCATATAAGTCAGTAAACACGTCATTGCAGTTAAGTTCTGTCATTAATTTTAGTTGTGGCTTAAGTTTTAACGGTTTGACCCCACTCCGTATAATCTATTGAAATCTGACTTGGTCAGGGTAAATAATCCGAGTATTCTGAAATGGTGTTGACCTACTGTCATCTATTCAAAGAATCATTAGTCAGATACAACACTAGTAATCCGAAAATCCTTATAAGTTGTTTCTACCTTGCAACCTAGTCAGACTTTTTCTTAGAATGAAGACATGATTGCAGTGAGGCAACTGGACAACTCATTACAAAGTATGTGGGGTCGAGTGTGTCCCTATTGTGACACAAGGCTCACCTGCTAGCACTGCCGGTATAGGTTGTGGACAAATGATTCCGCCTATATACGTTTAGTAAATTGACCGTATTTACGTTACTGAAAAGCGCATTCTCACTGGATTTCCAGATGCTTGGACATTCACATGTACTACAACCTAACAAATATATTTTCTGACGCCAAGCCTGCTTTTGATCGATATGACGGGACTTTAATCCAGAAACATCTGTCAGGAAGCTAATCCTTGCTCATGAACTAACATCTCGAGGGATGTTTATAGAATATTTCACGAACAGTAAGTTCGAACGGACATCACGTTGTTGTAAAGTAGCTCAAATGCGTACTATTTTGTTACTACTTTTCAGTTTCGTATTTAGAACTATTCTAGCGATACCTCTGACGTTAGACAGTTTTTTTACTCATTGGAGTATAACGAAAAATATTTTTTACCCTTATTTATCTGTCTTGTAGAAGACTTTTCGACGCCAGATATTGTCTCTTCATTTCCCTATGATATGTAGGTTACCGAAACTGAACTTATCACTTAATGGTGGATGTCTGTGTGTAAAAACTCATCATGTATTACTTATTAAGAATACTATAGGTCATTTCTACATATATATAATTCGAAATTACCAACTGAATGAATTTCAAGGATTAAACGATGGAATAGCTCGTGTACAGAACATATAATTCAAAATCCCTGTCGGCAGTGATTGTCTTGCGATTTTACTCTCTCACTCGATTTTTTTTTAGAAATTCGAGTTCCAAATACTTTTTGCTGCAACATCCTAATCTATCCTTTGTTTTCCTTTTATGCTATATAATGGCATTTGGTCAACGTTTTTGGTGTTCATGTTCCAACAATTTAGTATTTTGCAAAGTAATACATTTTAAAAATTACATTCAATGTTTTCATAAAATTTGTTACGAATGCGATTAAGACATCCAGTTCGTTATTGGACAGAACTACAGATTCCGAACTAGTACACAGTACCTTTTCTGTCTGTAATAGAAAAGTTGGCCATAAAATCTCATTTCCTTAAATGTATTTTGAGTTGGAAAGTGTAACTCACTGTGCAAAGCGTCTTTTATAGATCTTGTTTGATTTTCGTTAGAGTGATGTCACAATTTGATTTTCTGAAACTATAGATCGATGGATTCAACCGTTCGATCTGATAGGTCGATTCAAAAGCGATTGCTAATCCTGCCATGTAGTCAAAATGTCTTAGCAAAATCAAATCTAAAACAGTGAAAACAAGACAATAGACGGTAGTCTTTACAGTGTTAACGGAATCGAAGATGGGATTTTTCCAAGAAACGAAATTGTTTTTCCTTTTATAAGTGTTTCTATTGTGAATCGGATTCACGATGCCACAACATAAGTTAGTGTGAATTCAGAGGATGAGAGTGAAAGGCTGATACAACCAGGATAGATTTCGGTTCACTTGGATTCCAGAATTATGGAAGGTAACAAAACATTCATTACAGAACTTATATATTATCTTCATGTTAGATTCCCTTCACATTCCAGAAGCAATACAAATGTATTATAATGAAATCCCAAACTTTTCAAGCGAATTTATAGACTATAATTATTTGCGGATTCAAAGCTGTTTTAAGTATTATTTAGCATTATTGTACTGGACAGCGATGTATGCAATCTATTGTGCCACATATTCCAGAATCAAAGAAATATATAAATGCCATGAAGATGAAAGTCCGATCAACCAAGGTGAATATTCTGAATCGATAGATAATCCATATTGTCCATTACATTATGTTGCTGGTAATTTCCTCATTTTTAATTGAAAATCTCACTCTACTAATGAGTAGTCAAAGATAGCTACCGGGAATTTATTCGTAGTCTTCTAGACTCAGCACGGTAATATCTGGAAAATAAGTTTGAGAACTACATAAAATTGCAAATTCACGACTCGCATAGGAGAATCAACAATGAGAACACTGCATCCAGATATAATAAGGTTATGATATTTTCTGGGATAAAACGTATTGCAATTTATCTTATCGTTTTAAAAAGGTGGTGTAAATGATAAAACCAAGTTCCGATAAATTTTTGGCATCTCTTACTGATAGTAAATTTAAAAATTGCCTAATCGCCGTTGAATTTGACCATTAATAAAAAGCATTTGAATGTTGATCTTATTAAATATAAAGACTTCTGTATGGTTTTCCCATCCGGAAAGTATTAATTCGGAAACGTGAGGATTCAGCAATATAACTTTTTTTATGAAATGTCTAGGCTGAACTTCATCGGTAAAACGTAAGGCGTTGAATGTTTTCCCCACTTAATTAATCTGTCCTCTTATTGATATGGCTCTAGTTCACAAAAATTTTGTTTCTTTTTATGATATAAGAACTTTCTTAATACTGTTGTCTTCAAGTTGATTCATTAAAGGTTAGATAATAACCTGGAGGTACGTTAGACTATACTACGGGTAATAGACATGATACTTCAACTGATATTAAGTGGTTTAAGACGTTTAAAGTCTTATTTATTAATAAGGATGAGCAGTTTTATCATTTACCAATAGATTAGTACACGGCACAGCATTGCCCCCAAATGCCCTGGTACGGCCGAGAGTGGGGAGAGTCTACTCTCCCTCTCGAAATGCTCTCACATGGCCAGCGAATATATAGCCTCTGCCAGGGAAGTCCTACTCACTGCCTTCTCGTGGCGGGGGTGTTGTTTACGAAAGTGAGAGGACGAAAAGCGAATGTCCGGCGCTATAACCGGATTGGTGGACACGGAGGGTCCACCTAGGGGAGTTGGAAAACCCTGATTCCAAACCAATGGTGCACATGGGCTCCAGTATCCTGATGGAACGAATGGCGGAAGAACCTGTCATTGGTCAACGGCAACCATGGGACTGCATCTCCTCACGATGCTCCACTGCCTTGTGGATCAGACCTTTAGGTCAAAGGCTCGGGGTGTGGTCCCCTAAGAAAACCACCTGCTTCGGTTTGGGCACCTGGGCAGTATCACAGCCCACACACAAATGAATGAAATTATGAACTCTATTGACGATAATATCCCTGGTCATACTAAAAGCAAGACAATTAACATTATTATTACCTTTATTATTATTATTATTATTATTATTATTATTATTATTAATATTTACCATATTGCTAACTCACCCCCTTTTATCCCCAATTTGTGTAACCTTACTTTTCAACTTATGCAGCAGCTCGCCCATGGTGGAAAATCTATCCTATCTAAACGATCTCCAGTCACTGTCTGGTTGAAAGTGAATGCTTCCACCGATAATGAATACTGAGGCAGTCTTTCTGAAACCACGTACGCCGTTCAAGCTGGCTTCCTTCAACGTTCGCACACTAATGCAGATCAGACAACAGATAGGGCTGGCTATGTCTTTGGAAGGTCTTAATGTTGATGTTTGCTGTCTATCCGAGACCGGTATTCAAGACTCTAGTGAAGTACTACAAATCCGCTCTCCATCTGTCGCCTCGAAAAGCTTGTTCCACGTGCGCTTATCCGGGGACCCTGTGGCATCTTCGTCTGGTCTTGCTGGCGTTGGTGTCGCACTAAGCGCTAGGGCTGAGGCAGCACTAATCGATTGGATCCTCATTAACAGTCGGTTATGTGCTGTTAGATTAGAAAGTTCCATCAAAGTGAGAAGAAATCGGCGTGAGAAACGGTGTCTTTTCGTCATCTCCGCCTATGCCTCGACAGATTGCAGCCCGGATGCAATCAAGGATGAGTTTTACCATCACTTAACAGTTCTTCTCCAGAAAGCGCGTTCGACAGATATTGTAGTACTAGCCGGAGACTTGAATGCACAGGTCGGGCGTCTAGGCACAGAAGAGAGTCGTCTAGGTGGCCGATGGGGACTTGTTGGTCGCCGGACAGATAACGGGGACCGTTTGCTGCAACTGTGCACAGACCACAACCTGTTTCTGGCCAGCACTAACTTCCGGCACAGTCATCGCCGGTGTGCCACCTGGCGTCCTCCCTCTGCATCCCAAGCCTGGACTCAGATTGATCACATCGCGATCAGCTACCGCTGGCATGGTTGTGTACAAGACTGCCGCTCCTTTTGGAGTACCTATCTGGAGTCTGATCATGCCCTGGTCTGCGCCAATCTCACCTTACTTTTCAGTGGCCGGAGGATTGACCACCACCAACGGATTGATGTTAGTAAACTGGCTGCAACTTCTGTTGCAAGTAAGTATCGAGCGGAGCTAGCCTCTAGGCTAGCTACCACCCCACCGAAAAGTATAGATGAGCATTGGTTGCTTCTTCACGACGCCATGAAAATGGCAAGTAAAGCCGCTTGCGGCTTCGCGAAACGTCCCGCTTACAAGCACTGGGTTTCTTCTGGCTCCTTACAACTGATGGAAGCCCGTCGGTCTACTCCGGGTGACCGTGAGTTTGACCACAAACGAAGGCTGTTACGTAATGAAATCGGGCAAAGCTTGCGTAAGGACCGGGAAGCCTGGTGGTCGAAGCGTGCTAATGAGATGGAAGCAGCAGCTGCATCTGGTAACTGCCGGAAGCTCTTCCAACTCATCCGAGCCACTGGCAGCAAGAAGTCTGGTGTGAGTGAAGCAATCTACGAGGATGACGGGATGCCAATCACTAACATCTGTCGACGTCTTGGACGATGGGCGGAATTTTTCGAAGGGCAGTTCAACTGGCCTGCTGCTCCGGCAACATCAACCAGCTTGTCCTGCCCCCCATGGCCGGTGACGACTGATCCACCAAACGAGGCGGAAGTCCGCAAGGAACTCCAACTCTTGAAACGTTATAAATCACCTGGCCCAGATGACTTACCTCCGGCTCTTTTTAAAGATGGTGGTGACTTTCTGGCTAAGGAATTGACTGTGTTGTTTGCAAAGGTTTGGGAGCAAGAAAGTGTTCCAACATCGTGGAATGAGTCAATAGTCGTCCCTATCTTTAAAAAGGGTTCACGTTGTTCCTGCAATAACTACCGGGGGATAAGTCTACTTTCGATTGCGTCCAAACTATTGGCTTCTATCATTCTTCGTAGGTTGTTTAAAACCCGAGAAAGATTGACTCGCGAGGAGCAGGCTGGTTTTCGTTCTGGTCGAGGATGCATTGATCACATCTTCACCCTCCGCCAAATGTTAGAACACCGTCATACTTATCGCAGGCCAACAATCGTAGTGTTTCTTGATATCAGGGCTGCCTTCGATTCGTTGAACAGGACTGTTCTCTGGGATTGTCTATTGAAGAAGGGTGTGCCTGAGAAGTTCATTAACATCTTAAAGGCCCTGTATACGAACACCTCAGGCAGAGTGAGGGCATACAACCACCTTTCTCCCTTGTTCCATTCGAGCAGTGGGGTTAGACAGGGTTGCCCGATCTCACCATTCCTCTTCAACTTTGCCATCGACGACATCCTGGAAACAGCTCTGATGGATGTAAGTAATGGCGGTGTGGATATGTTGCCTGGAGAACGACTTCTCGACCTTGAGTATGCGGATGATATTGTCTTACTGTGCGATAATGCCCAAGGCATGCAATCAGCACTTAATCAGTTGGCAATCAGTGTCCGCAGGTACGGCATGTGCTTTGCACTGTCCAAGTGCAAAGTACTCCTACAAGACTGGCAGGATTCTCATCCTGTACTCACCCTGGATGGTGAGCAGATCGAAGTAGTTGAGAAGTTCGTGTATCTAGGTAGCTATATAAGTGCTGGTGGTGGCGTGAGTGATGAGATTGATGCACGTGTAATGAAAGCCAGAGCGGTTTATGCCAATCTGGGCCATCTTTGGCGCCTTCGTGATGTTAGTCTGGCTGTAAAAGGTCGGATCTACAACGCGGCGGTGAGAGCAGTTTTGCTCTATGCTTGTGAAACCTGGCCTCTCCGAGTTGAGGATGTTAGACGTCTCTCTATGTTCGTTGTCTCCGAAGGATTGCCGACATCCAGTGGCAACACCATGTTAGTAATGCAGAGGTTCGGCATCGTGTGTTCGGGCGCAGAGACGATAATTCAATTGGTGTCACCATCTTGAAACACCGACTTCGGTGGCTTGGACATGTTTTACGAATGTCGTCCCAGAGACTTCCACGTCGTGCATTATTTGCCGACCCTGGGACTGGTTGGAGAAAGCGGAGAGGAGGTCAGTGTATGACATGGTGTCGTGGCATGAAAGAGAGCTGCAAAGGGCTAGCTTTTGTTGGTCCTTCACGACTCCCTGGTTGGGGTCCGAGAGATAGTGCAACACAGTGGCTAGAGACGTTATCAGATATGGCTCAGAATAGAAGCCAGTGGCGATCCTGCTGCAACCTTCTTTTACTTTCTACATAAAGAATGTTTCTAACTTTCCTAACTGAAAGAGTCTTCTGGTTGTACATTTCAGTCCGCCTTATCTTTTCATCCCTTCTCTTCCTACTTTCATTATTTTGTGTGGCGCATATGTACCTGGTGCCCTTTTGTACCAATATATATGTGTTTAAATAAATAAATAAATAAACAGCACTGCCTATTAAGTTGAATACTTTTCACTGATTACGGAGATTATTTTGAAATTTCACCTAGTTGTCACTATTATTTACAACTATCGAGTCAGTATAAAACTGTACAAAGCAGGAGTTCCTCATTAGTCAAACCAATAACCTTTAAGTTTTCAACGTATTCTCTGTTTAGTTTTCTATAATTTTCACCACCATTCATATTTAAATTTATGTGCGTAATGAGATGGATGACGCCATGATCTTAAGAATACTATTCAGTGAAATTAGGTATAGCTAGATTCTCCTGAAGGAATTTACCTAACAATTAATTTAACCAGGATAGTAACAATTCATTTATCTTACCAACTGTTATTAAATCAGTGGGGATCGGGATCATAAAGTAAGCATATCCATGTTTCAGGGTCGTTTTTTTACGCTAGCCTACTAAAAAATTAACTTTCAGATGCTTTTGTAAAGGTAAGGAAAGCCAGCTCTGGTTGATGTTCAATAACAACTAATAGTGATAGTAGTAATAATTTATATTCATTAGTTAAAAGTTGGCCATTACTTAGTAATACGTAGATTTTATTCTTTAGAGTAATAGGTACCAAGATATGCCATGTATACAACTAAGGACGGTTAAACCTAGCTCCTGAACTGCGCGTGTATCTGGTGGTATGATACAACAAGGAAACATCTCTTTAAGGAGTTATTATACCGTCATACGTTGACCAATCTTGAAAATTAGCAGCAGGAGTTATAAGTATATATTCATGAACTTCAGATAGCAACGAAGCACTTTTGTATAATCAACTTAGGACTGCTTTATGTTGTCCATGTGTGGAAAAAAATCGTATACGTAAATAAGTAAAAGAACTACTCATATTGCGTATGTTTCTCAAAATAACAACATAGTAGCTAGATCTACGGAACTTGGTTCCGTCTGAAGTTGACTTAAAAGCACAGAAGACTGAAATATCTTAATTACTAACGAAACGGTTGGTCGATTTTCAGCTGATTTCGGTGTGTATTAGATGTCACATTCAAAGTAAAAACAAGTTTACAAACTGCTGAGATGATTATTATTCGTTCAGCACTTTCACAGCAACTAGTTGGAAACCAGCAAACTAAAATAATGTGAGTAGTTAAGCGACAAATTGAGAAAAAAATTAACTTGATTACAATAAGTTTTAATCACTTATTTTCCACCATAATAGCATTTCTATGTAGTCATCTACACCCGTACACACTACATCGTTCTTAATGATGGTATTTGATCATAACAAATCAATACGTTGTGTATTATTATTAGCTTAATGAATATATATTGTATATAGTCATTCAGTACATTATTTCTATTCATATTCATAATGCGACAACGAAGCTGTTTGGCATAAATATGAGTTTTTTATAGCAGAACTATAAAGTCTACCCGCATTTGATGCCAATTGTGATGAAATTTCTTGTTTGTTACAGTAATTTATTGATTATTGATCAGCGTTGTCTATTTTCCAAGCATCATTCCACTTTTAACAAATCTGCCATAAGTGGACTTTTTCAATATTCACTTCTTATACATTACTAAATTACGTTTAGAAGAGATTTTTGTTCAAAATTTAATAATTTTTCTTGTCGTTAAATTTAACTTTTCACTATCTCAGGCAATACCACACAAATAGATAGCAATAGCATATGGCATAACAACAAGGAGCCAAGTAATTGACATATTTGACACTTACCCCCATTATAGTACGTTATTATCTTGCCGAATTGCAAAATTGTCATAGAACGATAATTGAACTAAAAAGAGTTGTTCATTTAACAAAATACACTTCTATGTTAAATTTCATCAAGAACTGACATCAATCAGAACAAACACCAGTAACCAAGAAACACTAAACTATCTATCCTAACCGTTAGCGCTTTTCACCAATGACAGTGTCTTCGAACGAAACAGTACTTGAATTTGGACATCCCAAGCTTTGAATTAGGACCTTTTACCAGTAGTGTTAACCAAGCTGCTAGTAAGCTAAATGAAGACCAGTAATGTAGGTTGATAGTCACGTTATCATGAAGTGACTAAATGGTGTCAGAAGAACTGAGATTCCCACGATTAGTACCATCTATATTGTTGATGCGTTTCTTCATTGGTCACAAACAGGGACAAAAGGATTGATCGATGATTCTCTTTTCCCATCGGTACTCTGTATAAGATAGAACCTAATGGAAACTGACTTTGAATATATTTGTACAAACATTATTAAGTATTATGGCTTTTCATACATATTTCGAATCGGTGGGTATAGCGGTTAACCGACTAACACCGTTCTTTTCAAAGATATAATAAACCTTCAAATACGGTCATTCAAACCATACAGTAGCATGAATCTAATCAGCTAAGAATAGAAATTACTGATTTTCGATTTGGCCTAATCACAGCTATCGAGATGTTTCTCCATCTTTGTATTTAACTTCACTGAGGAAAGTTATGTCATTCTAAAAATATATGATTTATGTATATTTAGCTCTTCCAGAGCTAATACAGTTAATATTGTCTCGTTCAGTAACAAATATTTGTCTAGTCGCCTTGTACATCCATGCTTGAATGTGTCTACTAACACTCGTACTCGACCATTTAATTGAAAATATCAGATATGATTAATTCAAAAGCTTTTACTGAACTTAAAGATAGAAAAAATTAACTGGGTGCCATTGTCTGACACCAGACTTTTTTATTGATGAAAATATAAAATCACTAATGTAGCTGAAATACTGTACTACTTGAAGTGACTCAGCTCATAAGAAGCATATGTGCATACTTGAAACAAGCATCACTCTTTATTAATTAATGAGTAACTTTGGAGGATTCAGGATAATTGACATAAATATAAAACCAAGGCTTATTCAGGATAAGCAAATAATGACTTACAACTTTTATAATACCATTTTGATAATTAAGAGCGACCGCCATGTTCGAGGTACTACTTTGACTCAAATATTGACTTCTACCTAATACATGTACTTACGCCTTTTACCCCTTGTAGAAAAGCATAGGCTGCCCACCAGTAATCTTCATCCAACTCTGTCCTGTACATAGGGGAAAATAATTAGATTATTCTAATCCTAGGGTTATTTACGGAAATTAGTTGTAACTTCTGCTTGTTGCACAAAGATAATACAATAATTTACAAGTGATACTGATGCGGCTGATAAATTTGGTTTTAGTCCCTGAGAAAGTGAATTAGACAGAAAAATGTAAATATGACAGAAGTGGAACTAGTTTTGTTCTCACTGCAGTTGTGGCTTCTGAAACTATAAATCTGATGGACACAATTTCCCATCGCTGTTTTAAATTCATGTACAAATCAGAACGGAATTACTTAGGATTTTGGATAGCTAAGGTTTTCGATATTCTCTTGAAGACTCTCCTGAACAATAATAAGTTCATCCTCCAACTTATTTTTTGATATAACTCATTTAAGATGTTAACGTTTGAATTACGTACTGTCCAAATAATATATATAATATAATATATACACTATCTAAAGTAGTCAATGAATATAAGTTAACGTTCCCAGTTATTTAGATAAAACATGCCATTTTAGTAAATATTAATGTAGATTGAGTAATCACTGAGAAGTAACCAATACCACATCTGATTAATGTGAAGAATCAGTTCCTTTGAGATTCCAGATACGCCTTGCAGACGGCTTTCATTTATTACGAAACCTAGACTAAAGATTAACTGCTGACTATCCTAACCACCCGAAAAATATTGTTATTGGTCTATTTGGGATCCTTATGAACTCCAAAGCAGAGTATTTCAATTAGTTTAGTTTCACTAAATGTAAGCCATTTAGCAGAACTGATTAGGAGTTAAGCTACAAATATATATATATAAAGATATATAATCATCAATTTAGCCAACAATAAGCTGTAATTTGATGTATTATTCTGCGTTAAAAGAATAACAAGACGTCATAGTTATTCATCATTGAACTATATTGCTCAGAATGTTGATAAATCCTAGCTACGATACTTTAGGTATACAATGACGACCCTCAGTATATTAATATTTTTAATATGAATTATGTTCATCAATTTTAAGATGAACGAATAATTACAATTAAATTTCATTACTTTAGTCTCTATAAGTGTTAAAGAGTTAATAACAATTTCGTCGAAATCTGTTTTCATTTAACTTCAGAATGTAGTCACATAGTTCTTATTCGGAAAAAATGGTCCCAACATTCTGAATTGGATTTCTTAATAATGATCAAAAATCATAATATTCCTTGATAATACTGATATCACTAATTTGCAAAATCTGTAATATTTCTGTGATTTATAAGTGCAGAAGATAAATACACGCATCAGTATTCCATTTTTTACAAACTGAATCATGTTGTAACAAGAAATTCTCAATGGTTGTTTACACATATTTGTTACTGTTATTGTTGTTGCTGAGTAAACGAAAACGCAAATTTTAATTCCAAATAAATTAGACAAAGACAATTCAAAATAAATGGTGTGAGAATATAACAGTTTAGTCTATGTCATGAAAAATCATGGAGATTATGTTGAATCCAATAATGATGACTTTTTGGTAGGATAGGGTTGACAAAACAAAGATACTTTCGTTGAGGTTCATTTATCGACTAAAAACTGATAGCAAACTTATTGATATTCAGTTTTTATGAGAGGGTTAGTTTTCGTTAAGGTATAGCAACGAGTTAAAAAATTGAGACGAGACCTTTCCTAACACTATACATATATTATAATCAATGTGAATTTCTAGATTGGACGTTGATGAATTACATCAAACAGCTCAATCCTAAAAAACTAAAAATATTTAATGGTTAAATCTATGATTTATCAAAAAGCACCAGGATACTTTCATAAACTCATCAGAATATTTAAAACGTTTTAATTTATAAAAGTTGTCCTTAATTCCCCTAACTACATTACTGACACTTTAAAAAAACATTTGTAAGCTGGTCTATAAGACGAAGACAAACTACATTTCGCTTCACCCGTTACTATTTTATGTTGTGAAGTTAGCAACAGGGAAAGTGTTACAGTAATAGCATTTTGTACTGATCAGATCTACATTACATGAAATCAGAACTAAATTAAATGTATTATTGCGAAGACCTGGTAAAGAGAAAGAACAATTTTTCAATGTTCGCATACATTTTATTTAGTATGACATAGATTGTGTTTTTTATTAGTTAGGAATTGATTTTATAAAAAGTCGAAGTAAAAATGTCGACTTTTTCTTCATTTTACTCCATCGAAGAAATACGGGAAACGTTATGCAGCTAACAGTACAACTAAGACAAATACCAAGCTAAAACTGAGCGCTAAATGCACAGCAAGAAGAAAGTATTTGATTACCCATAACTGTAAATGAAAAGAACAACATGAATTTTGGAGCATTTTTATTTTGCTCACAATGAATTTTTTTTTACCTGACATTCATTTTGTAAACACGAATATTTTAAAAGTAGAGAAATATCTAACGTTTAATAAAAATAACACACGATCCAATGATAAGTACAGGGATTATTCAACCCACGATGCTGCTTACACAACTTACAGGATGAGTGATTTTGACGTTAGATAAGTCATCATTCAATATTACAAATTACAAAAAGTTTATAAGTTCTACTAGCAGTGTTCATGTAATACTATTATATTTTACTTAAATAACAATAAATGTTTGGTTTTTAAAGTGAGAACGTTAGATTTCAACCTAAAGAACTCACTTATCTTCCGGCAATATTATGATTACTGATTGTGCAAAGCATACGTTAATATATTATACTACGTTTTATACCATTAAAGGCTCACGTTAGTGTTTAATTGCTATTCATAAGACAATCAAAACAGTTCCCAACGAAATATTATATATTAGGTTGAAATTCACTTTTAATGGTGGTAAAAAGTCGATGGATATTTTTATCAACAGTAATAAAATCGCCTTCATATAATCCACAAATAAAAGTTCTTCTTAACAAAAACCTGTTCGTTCGAAAAGTATGGAGTGAGGGTAAGGACTGAAAATATATCTTCATAAATGAAAACATGCTTTTTGTATAACTACTAAACAACAAATTGGATAAGATAACACTCATCATGTATTTTAAAATACCTATTAACTTCTATATTTTATTTTTCTGGTTAGCGTGCCCGAGAAAATAGTCGACATCGTTCGGAATTTATACGACGGACTACACTGTAAAGTCGTACATGGAGGACAGCTGATAGATGCATTCCAAGTGAGGACCACAGTCACACAAGGCTGCATACTCTCCCCCACTTTCCCTTCCTTCTGGTGGTTGATCAGAAGACCTTCATTTCTGAGGTGAAACACGGAATATAATAGACAAGTTGGACGCACCTAGACGATTTGGACTTCGTAGATGATCTAGTTTTTCTATCCTATACAAACCAACAAATACAGATCAAGACTGATAGCGTAGCAGCAGGCTCTACAGCGGTAGGTCCCAACATACATAAAGGATTAATCAAGATCCTTTAATATAAAACGATGAGCACCAAACATATTAAATTTGATGGAGAAGTTCTGGAAGAGGTGGAAACATTCACGTACCCGGACAACATCATCAATCAACAAGGAAGATGTGGTACAGACGTTAAAACACGGGTTGGTAAAACAAGGGCAGTATTCTCTCAATTAGAGAACATATGGAACTCAAAACAACTGTCAACCAATGTCGAAGTCGGAATCTTTAATACAAGACAGTTTTATTGTATGGAACTGAAACGTGGAGAACTACTACAACCATCAACAAAAATGTACAGGTATTTATAAACAGTTTTCTACGCAAGATACTGCAGATCTATTGGCTGTATATCATCAACAACGACCTACTGAGGTAGAGGACAAACTATCTTTCAAGTGAAGAGAAAATTAGGAAAAGACTCTGGAGGTGGGTAGGATATACATTGCGGAAGTCATCAAACTGCATCACGAGGTCAGCCCTAACTTGGGATCCTGAAGGGAAAAGTAAAGGAGGAGGACCAAAGAACACATCGCATCGGGAATTTAATATAGACATCAAAAGAATTATTAGCGGTTGGAAACAACTGGAGAGGATTATTCAGGACAGAGTTGGATGGAAAATGCTGGCAGGCGGCCCATACTCCTCCACGAGGGGTAACAAGCGTAAGTATTTAGGTTTTATTTGATTCATGCGTAACAGATTTTACGACTTCGCCAAATATATTAAAGTACGTACAAGCCTCTAAGTAGTGTTTGATTGACTGACTGACATTAAAGTATTACGCGTATTCAATATATTTTATGCTGATAAACAAATATATTTTAAAGAAATGAGCCCATATGAATTTTTCAGAGAAACGCTTGAAATAGAGATTTCTTTGAAAAGGCTGATGTTCAATAGCCGTATTTTCTACAGTATAACAACTGGATAATTTATGATTAAGATAATTTTTTGAAAAGTTACAAATATGTTAATTTAATAAATTATCATAATCATCCATTCATGAGAAAAAAGATACTCGTTCACTCGTTTTAATGCTAATACTCATGCGGAATACATAAAATCTATTTCTTAACCTTAATCATATACAACTCAATTGAATGACACAGTTACTTAAAGGTTCTCAGCACATTGATTATTGTCAATACTGATAATCCAAAACTACGTTCCAATGTTAGATGAATGGTAAGCAGAGTTCCGAAATGCAACCCTCCAAAATAGTGGCTTTACATTGTATATGGATTCTAACGGTAACTAGTCAAGCTTCTGTTAGTTAGTAATGGTGGAATAATTTATCCACGAACTAAAGCTGCTTTATAGAAATTTAACCAAGATAACTGACGTGGATTTTACATGATTACAAGCTGTGTATCATCGACAGTAATAAAATTCCCCATAGGTCATTAAATCTCATTTTATAAAGTGAAATGATTATTGTCATAAAATCCATTTTCAATATTATGTGACCATATATATGTGTGGTGACGTATGTTAACACATAAATTATGTTGCCGAAATTTGACTAGTTATTATTATCTAAAAATTATGTAGTCTAACTTCATATAACTGTTCAAATTCCAAACAACATACAATAATTCTGTGAATTTAAGTAATGAATTAATTTAAGCGAGATCACCGTTAAGAATCTGGAAGCACTGGACAATTGTTTCATTTTAGTATGAGACTCTTCAATGGTATACATCAACCAATCAAGCCCAGGACTTTCGGTCGCGAGCATGAATGCCTAATCTGTAGACCACTGAACGAGCATCCAATAAGTAGCTTCAAGATGTAGCTACTGGAGTTCTAGTGAAATTCAATCATTTCAGGTGTGAAACAGTTATCCACAGTAGGCAATGAATGAGGCTTGTGCAGTAATGTGAAATGGCCGAGGCTAGACACACACACAGTTAGATGTTGACTCAGCGGTTTATAGGTTAAGAGTTCATGTCACAGATCGAAGATCCTGGGATTGCTTCCAGGATGCAGAGTCGTCAGTAGTGCACACTGAAGAGGAATCCCTTATTATTGACGAAACAACTTTCTAGTGATTCTAGATTCTTAAATATAATTTTGCTGAGATAGATTCGTGACTTAAACTACGGGAACTCCTTAGTCTCTACAATTCTCCGTATACTAATAAATTAATTGTCAGCTTATAATTTATCATATACATATGAGATTGATTCCTCTTCTAATTAGTTTTTTTATGAATGGATTGCCATATCCAAATCAATTAAACGGTACTTTCTGCTTTTCTAATCATATGCTTAGAAAAATAATTAGCCGTCATTGAGTTAAATGCAGGATGTGCCTGCATCATTATTACATTTGGTTAAATAAAGTGAACTTACCATATGGTTTTTGGTAATTTCTTTTGGTACACCTCTTTTAGGCCTTTGATTCTAGGAAAAACAATAATTATGACTCGTTAGATGAGAATTATGTAGCCAGGGATAAAAAAAATAGTCGTGTTAATGTAGTTTATATGAAATGAAGGATAATAATGGGGATAATCTGTGAATGTTGCTTTCTTTATCCTAAACCAAATTACTTCTCCTTTAAACGTTTCTTAAATATTTGTTTTTGTTGAAATAGCCCGGTTAGAAGCTATAAATCTACCAATGTCCTCCCGTATACTCAGTATTAAATGAATTCTGCTAATCAAATTTATTAGACAGAATTCACCAATTGAGACATTGAATAAGAAAGATTGGTTCGGCGAAGACATCTCTTTTCAGAGAATTCATTTTCAAAGCTTTACAGTCTCAAATACATATACCTATTTTTCAGGATGATAATAATTACAATAATAGTGATAATAAACTTCTGTTAGACATGGTAACAGTGAGGTAGGGTAAACAAAAGTATTTTAAAAAATTTTGAACAGGGAAACTAATGGTAGTTTGACATTAAATAGGAATTAATTAATTCCTTGAAAAAGCTTGGACCAGATTGCCAGGTGAAACGTTGGATTTACTTCAAATTTGTTCGCTGAGATTTTACAAATATATTATTCTTATTTAATGTCTTACATCAACTCGGCGCTCAAATACTGTAAAACTGTTCGCTCTAATTTAGACGAACGTTCTTATATAATGGTAGTTTGATTACTAAAGACTTTAAATATTCATCATAAAGATAGGATGACTCAGCATAATAGGATAAAATGTTAAAATTGAGATGAAACGTAATCAGGAGGATCTTGGAAACAGAAGTAAACCAGTTATGTTTCTGTATGTTGGGTTTCCGTTTTTTCTGTAATTACATAAATAATAACGAGATTGACATCAGAATAAGGGAAACATATTTGAAGGAGTTACCACTACGTTGCGCTTGCAATGTACCGTCTTTCATTCAACGACGTAATTCATTGGTAAAAGGGTGGTATAGTAATGGGATCCCCTCTTGGTCAATTAATGACAGATTGCCTCATCGCCAGTCTAGAAAACGACCGACTTAAAACGACTAACGAAAACTTCCACTTGTATAAAAGGTACGTAGATGATAGTTTTACCAATTTGTGACAACAAATATGATTTGAGTCAATTTCTAAAGACATTTTATAACTGTCATCCAGCAATAAATTTCACACTTGAAGTTGAAAATAAACTAAATATTCACGTTCCTGATGTGGAAGTGACAAGAAAACAAGACGAAATTCTAAAAAAATCTATCTACAGGAGATCCATGTGGAATGGCCAACCATCAGGTTTCCATAGCTGGGTCCTCATCAGTCGAAAACGAGACCTATTAATATCACTAGCTACGCGAATAAAAAAAATTTCTAGTCCTGAGGTCATAGATGACGAACTGCGCCTCGTGAAGGAAAAACTTATCAAAAACGGGTATCCTTCAATATTCATTGATAAAAGCATAAAACTGAAACCACCCAAAACACAAGTAACTTCAGTCGAAAAGAAAACATTATACATGAATATTGACTTTAAGGGCGATAGAGCTACAAACATCTTAAGGAGGGGAATTTATGATTCTTCAGAAAAAAATGCTCTTCGCAACAACGCTGAGGATGGTACCCTCCAGTCGATCATTGCTCATCAGTAATCTTAAGGACAAATCATCTCATCTGACCAATTCAATTTACATTTACCAATTTGCCTGTTCATGTGGAGCCAGGTATATAGATCGTTGGGTGAGTACTTTATCCAAAAGAATTCAAGAACATTATCCGGTATGGCTAAGAAAATGAAGAAACGGCTCAATAAGAAGTTCAATAATCAAACACCATGTGAACAAAGATAACTCAATAAGACGAACTCTGTGTTCAAAGTCATCTAAAAGGTAAGTAGGATTCTTCCAAAGTCAATTGTTTTGCATCTTCTTAGCATTGCCATACATCTGGGAATAACAGAATAGTTTGTCCAAAAGAGGTTGGTACAACCTCTTCTTCTACCATGGTCTTAATGTCTCATTTTACTCTTCATACTTTTCTTCCTTTACAGCCATCTGCTTCTTCATCCATCTTCTTCTTAAACCTTCTACGCCCAATTGGTTTGTTTCTGTTTCTATGATCCTCCTGATTACGTTTCATCTCAATTTTAACATTTTATCTTATTATGCTGAGTCATCCTTCCCCAATGATAATTTCTCGATCTTTATGATGAATATTTAAAGTCTTTAGTAATCAAACTATCACTAGTTTCCCTGTTCAATTTTTTTTTAAAATACCTTTGTTTACCCTACCTCACTGTTACCATGTCTAACAGAAGTTTATTATCACTATTATTGTAATTATTATCATCCTGAAAAATAGGTATATGTATTTGAGACTGTATATTTTTGAAAATGAATCAGATTTATAGCGGTAACGCAAAGCTACATGAATCGACCTTGGTAAGAAGCAATTTAAAAAATTCATTAACCTATTTTTCATGACTTTTTAGAACTATCATTAGCTACGATACGTTCGCGAGACTAAAACGAAAACTCTAACGAAAAATTCGATACCACACACAATCACTGTTTTCTCTCTTCTAGCTCAAACTACTCTAAATCTTGTGAAAAAAATTGTTGAAGGAGAACAAAGAAGATTAATTTACATCCATTTTTACCTAATCTGCATCGGTCAGTTTCCGTGATTATTAATAACAAGACTTTTCACGAAAGCAGCCAACACTTAAATGTAAAATAACAGCGAAGATTATTAACCCATTGAAATACACTGACGCTCAATAAATTTCCTTCATATATGATTCAATGAAAACGAAAATGAACAAAATGTCGGTGAGCAGAATTCGCTTTAAAACCAACATGTGAATTTAAAACTTAATTTCTTTATAAATACTGAACCTGAGAATTTAGCGTCCCCAACAGGCTTGCATTCCTCTAAATCCAATAAGTTCAAGACATAGGTCGAGTAGTGAGTCTTGCCGGTTAACTATAGCATTTATCACTGATGTAACACTTTCGCAAACATAATTTCAACTGTAATGTGAAATAATTTATAGACATTGGAATCTTTAGTTGTCGGTTGTAATCTAAAAACAAATTTTGCAGAAAATAAGCAGTTTGATCCAATATTTAATTGGTACACTTTTAAAGCCTTCCTTCAGATGCGAGTACACAAACTGAAAGTCTTTTCCTCATCTTTAAAAACGTGAGATCAAGCAATAAATTTTTAAATCTTGAAAGTATTTCGCTTCTCTTATTGAGATTCTTGAATATAATACAATTATTTGATAAGATTATTGTTATATAACAAGGTGATAGAAGTTTTGCTGTTCTTATACAAGTTTATCGTTCCTGCAGGTAGGTGAACTTATGTAGAATGATTGAAGTGTACTAATATCAATAGGTTTTCGTTGTTGCCAAAAATTTCACCTATAAAATTATTAAGGGCTTGAAAAAAGTGAATTTATTGAAAAGCCGATAAAAGTTACCAATTTTTTCTGGACACACACCTATTACAACAACTAAACAAAAATAACCTGCCAAACTATAAAATGAAGATATTCAGTATTTGAAAGTTGTTTTTTTGCTTCATGAAATCGATGATCTTTGAGAGAAATAAAATATATACCAGAAACTTTCGTGATAACTTACAAGTTCTGTTCTATAGGGTTCTAAAAATGTGGCTCCATGTTTCGGATCCTGAAAAGAAATAATAAATTTCTTAACAAACGCCTTACAATGTTTTTTCATAGTGATAATCTTACGAAAATGCTTTTAGCAGTTAATTTTGCAAGTTTACCTGTCTTACCACTCCGTGATAGCACTAGAAATATACTAAATAATAAGAATCTCGCATTACTTTAGATAGATGATAGCTCAGAATAGCTGAAAGTTGCTCTGAAAAAGTTTCATTATCCAGTTCTTTGTCTTACAAAATTTCTAGTTGTCGTTTAATTCACATCCTTCTATCCAGACTTCGTAAAATTTATCTCAAAATCTTGCAGGATTAATTTCAAGATTGGGATTTTCCGATTTAAAATTTTCATATCTTTGTTGTTTTAGCGTTCTCAAGAAAAAAGGCTCCACGTCACTTTAACTCAATGAACAGTCTCATGTTCATATATATGATATAAAATTTGGAAATTCTTTTTAGAAAACCATGCTTTTACATAGTGGTTTGCGTATGAGTAGTTATTGTAACATTTATTTGTTTATTTATTTAACAAAGTAGGGCTTATAAATGACCGTAAGCAAACGAAGATCTTGTAAACAATGTACCCTACGAAGTTGGTATGGTATGATAAGTTAGTCTAAGATTGCGAACAAGCTTCTGAAAATATTTTTAACTCAGTTACTTACATAAGTATACTGATGTATTCTGACACCCAAGTGGAATTCTCGCGTCTACAGTAACTGAATGAATGGACTAAAATAATATATTTGGGACGAAAATTGTTCCTACTCGATATGAAGCAAGGAGTGGCAGAGTATTTTGGGAAGCATTTTTAATGAAAAAAGTCCACAGTCTAATACTTTCTTCTTCAAAAGCTATATCGGCTGCAAGAAACTTACAGTCCGATCTCGTAAAAGGATAGATAATAATTTATTGAGAGTGATAATAATAGTCGGTAAAATTGAATATTCCAATATAGGCTGACTTGTGAGAACGAATAATGCAAAGAAGTGTAGAAAACGCTTTAAACCTTTTACTTTCGAAAATAATAAAGAATACCAGCATCTTTTTTGAATTTTAACCCCTAACAATTGAATCTTGCTACGGTTAACTTAATGATTAAAAAACTGTATTCTTTGCCTTTATAAGGGCAGAAACGAAGACGTCTCCGAAGTGACTGCACAAATAAGTGTGCTAAGTAGCATTAAAGATAGTGTAGACTCCGTAGCTATTAAATGAACTGCAAATTAACGTGTCAGCAACTCATACTGTCAACTCGCTGCAAATGTTGTGTTTATAAAGTAAATACAAGCTCGTAAGTTATTTGCATTTGGTTGTCAGTGTTCATTTTCAAGATACCAATAAAGTTTTTCGAAATATCAAAAAGCAATTTTCATCTAATTTCATAACGACGAGACAAAATATGTGCAGTTGCCTTAAGACGTATTGATAAGTAAACCTTGTAAATAATAATCTGCAAAGATGATCCGGAAATTCTAATGTCTTGTGTAGTCACTATTATAATCTAGAATAAATGAGTCTCTTCAACCTCCATAAACCGAGAAACAAAACTTATTATCTAACAATGTTCGTTTCAGAATTATTCAGTAACTGTGCAATATTTATAGTTTGATAAGTCTTAAAGGCTAAATATTCCATTTTAACAACGACAAATTTACTGATTTGCAGCTCAACTTGTTAGCTGAGAATGTAATATCATCTTAATCGGTTATTTAATTGTAATTAGTTCAGATTCAATCAATAAACGAGCATCTCACTGTAGTTAATATTGTTGCTAATATTTGAAATATTAAACAAATTTTGGCAAAACGGTTCCGAATTCTGACAAACTCTTGTGGCCTGAGTTACATATTTAAAATATACTCATTGTTCTTGCTAAACTTCCTGAAAATCAGACTAATTCATCGTCATCACAAGGGGGATTTTTGTGGAGATTTAGTAATTTTATAGTTAAGATCATGAGTCAATTCCTGGAGTAATTCCTGGAGTTCTAGTGAGAAGTCGTGGCCAGTGGAGCTAATCCATGTCAGGTAGAGACAGGTATCTACCTCAGTACATTGGAAGTTGGTTGCGCAATTTCGTGGATTGGTTGAGGTTAGACATTAACACCGTTGGATGCCAGCTCAGTGGTCTATCGGTTAAGGGCTCCGGCTCGAGACTGGTAGGTCCTGGGTTCGAATCTCGCGAGAGCGGGTTCGTGGATGCGCACTGCTGAGGAGTCCCATAATAGGACGAAACGGCCGTCCAGTGCTTCCAGGTTTTCGATGGTGGTCTAGCCTCAATTGACTCATGATCTTAACTATATAATTCATCGTCATTTTTCAAAAAGCAATAGTAAATCAATCGCACTTAACAAAGCTATTCAGGAACAATTTAAAACTAACAGACATCAATTAAAGCTATGTTTGAAAAATACAATGCAACAACTGATTTCAACGTATATTATAGCACAGATAAACGTAATATGATCTAGATCCTAGAATACAGAATGAACATAACGTCACGTTTTATAAAACTAAGTGTTTTGGACTCACACTATTTCAAATTAAAACAGCTTACAAGATGGTAGACTTCACTGACCATCAAATATCTCTTAATGCTAAAAATGTTTAAAATCGTTTTATGATATAATAGCACCTAAGGAGTAATATGCATTACGTTGTTCTCTTAAAAAAATTCGGCTATTACAGTAGGGAATTTTGCAGTTTTGGTGGCATGTTGAGATCAAAATAGAATAATAACATAAAAAACGTAGATTTCCAAAACAGAAGATCCGGTCTTTTGTATCGAATGTCATCTGTAAGCTAAGATTCTTCAAATATACTCTACAGTTAATCCAAATCGAAAACTAATCATTATGAACCTTTTCGGTCTGCCCGTTTGGATTATGGAGGGAAAGAAAAGAGTTTTAACGGGAAATCATGTTGCATTGTTCTAAAGAAAAGTAGTATATAGGGTAACCTTGTGAACATTTGTATTTGAATAGTCAGATATAAAAACACTGAAGCAAAAGTATACATCACTGAATTTTTGAAGGCCAAAAATGTTAATTTAATCACTGTTTTAAAATCTGTTTTTGGATTTGTAGTTCGAGTGGTACTTTAGACATTTTTACAAATAATTATTCTGGAGCCTTGGACTTAATTCTATCTTAGTTCAACAAATAGGCTTATAGATTTAGATTTTATGGAATGATACTTACTTCCAGTCGATACGTTACCGGTTTAACTAAGAAGAAGGTTCTCCTTATAGAGCGTTTGCTAGTAACAAGAACGGTATCCAAGTAGTAAGCTATTTAATGGCAAGCTGGAGATGACAATTTGATTGCTTTTCAAACAGTCAACAGATATTTACCTGTTTCTGTGATACTATATGGTAGGTGACTTTTGTTTGATATTTGTCTAACTTTATTAATTCAGTGTTACTACAACTGTATCTTTGTACATATCCAGGTTACCAAACTGTATTCAGTCCTCAAATACTCCAGGTACACTACTCAAGAAAAGAAATAGGGAGCTTGGGTTTTGGATATAGTGGTCAAGCACTGATGTGCTAGAAAGCACAGAATTGTATATAGTTACAGTGCAGCAAACAAAATATAGGATTACTGAATTTTATGGACTTTAAAAAATGACTTGATGAAATAGTAGAAAACTCTGACAACGTTTTCGGAGGACCAACTATTAATTTATTCAGTTCCTGTATCTCAAAATAAAATACTGTGACATTAAAAGATATTTTCTTGTACTTATCACATCACGTTAAGCGTAGTAAAAACTAATCTAGGGAGCATAAACATTTCATTATCGTTAAAATAAGACTTTTACTGGGATTGACAGAACTATTGGTCAAGTTACGGAATTTTGGTGATTTTACATGATGTTTTCATTCACTTTATATTTTTCATTTGAAAATGGAAATATTATGAGGATTTTCAAGTTCTTTCAGAGGTGTCTGTCATATCAAATTTTTATGAGAATACGCTTCCGATAACAAATTCCCTTAAAATGGCAAGAGCGTTGACTAAAATTCTGAACCTCATGAAATATTCGTGATGATGGTTTATTAAAGGTGACATTTCTCGTAGTATCTCATAAAAATTATTTTAAGATTTATCACTGAGTTTAAAAAGATAGATTTGTTTGTGGCTCACTGCTGCACAAAGTCTACCATGCTTGCCTATACGTTTCAAGTCAATGTTTATTATACATAGCTTCCCTAGAGACAAAATGAACTCAACTTCTAACAATCACATACGTCCGAACCATACTAATTTACAGAAACGATAAATTTTGGATTTTACTCTTGCAAATGTTTCCGATGTTTAGAAGACTGAGAATAGATGACTGTGTAAGATTAGATAAACATATGTTTGGATGAAATCAGTAGTAGTGATAAAAGCAAACTACTTACTAAAACAAAGCGGATGACGGTCCATAGTATATTGCATAAAACTATCGATAATTTTACATAGTTTTTTAAACACTGCCGGATTCAGGAGTTTTTCAGGAAACTGAGGGACGATATTTCTGTCACTGCCAAAAGGATATGCAGTTAATTCAAAATCCAAAAGTTTCATCAAAATGCTAGGAATTTGCGTAACTCATTCAGTCTTATTACAAGCATAACTAACAGTAGTAGTTTTAAAGGGGTATATCATGATAGCTTGACTCATTGTTTGGTGGTCAAAAATGGCTTTTTCTAAAATGAGCAAATATATCAGAATGCTGCAAAGTATAAATCAATAAATTTTGACCGTTCCTAAGCGTAACCATGGCATAATTAGCAGCCTTATCTCGCACTCTGCTTTTACCATTTCTTAAACGTTTCATTAAATGTGTAATAGAATTGCTTTTCCCTTCTCATGATTAAAGGAGTTTAGACTTGTATTTTCTAGACAGTCGAGATATAGAACAACGTACTAATTATCTGATTCATCATGTCAGTAAGTATTATACGAGAAATGAAATAAAATTGTGGACAAAAATACACGAAACCACTCGAAATGGAAAATCTCTCCTTAGTTTAACTTACTTCGGCAATTCGAGCGAGCAGTTTGTCAGCCTCATCAGCTTGAATGCTTAGAATTGACTGGACAACTAATATAAATGTGATCATGGGTAAACTCAGGGTCTTCACATTTACTTTTGACATTTTTTCCGAGTTTATATCCAATAACTTCAAAAGTTATTTCGACTATGATGTTAAGAGCAACAGTTATAGCAAAAAGTGTAGAATATATTTTTGATGAACAAACACCATATCCCAAGACTGGCATCTGTAGTCCGATTAAGGCCGTCGGGACTGCAAGCATCTGTGACAAAATTCCAGCTACCTGATGAATGTATTTCGTAATAGCCCTCTGACGACCGCTTGTCGTGCAAAGAAACCATGCAACAATAGGCTGAACCCTTTATTAGTACTACTTCTACCTACATTTGAGAATGTAAGCACAATGATTGCAAATCCACATGCTGGGTGAGCGCTGAAAGGAAGATCATTCAAATTTGAGTAGCCCATAACATGTACAACAATAATCATTAGTGCCAACAAAACGAACATAAGAGTAAATGACTGCAGAATAACGTGAAACTGAAACCAGTAAGCGAAGTTATTTATTGTCCGACCTGGCCAACCTTTCTTGAAGTGCCTTGAAATGATGATTGCATTTGGGTTACAGAAACCCCATGCTAAGATCATTAAACACGCATGAGCTTTCACATCAGAGGGAATTCTATGTCTTTAAAAATAAATAACTATTATATTTCGATCTACCCTGATGTGTAGTAACTGTTGTATTGGCTACCATAATTATTATACGAAGAGTTCATTGGACGACAATATCTGGTCAGTTACTTTATATTCGTGGGTCATAGTTTTCGCTGAAAAATAACTAAAGCTGTGTACAATATTCAATACCTCGTACTAAAACTGTAGTCGAAATTTTAAGACTTTTCATTGCATTTTTATTATAACAATCAGTAATTCAGGTGTTGAGACATCTCTCAGTTGAGGAAAACCCTGAACATATCAGGTGAAATTTTTGAAACGAATTCTTGATCACTATTTGTAGCAATGAAAGCCGTTGTCAGGACGACATTTCTTGGGACTATTCGAAGCTACAATCGACTGAAGTATAAGGCCGATTATCACTCTCAGCAGCAATAAATAAGAAGTCACGGATCTGATGTAAATAGCGCAACAACGCATCCACGTTCACACCTTTTTTTCAAAAGTACTATGAATATCTGTCAGTGTTGCAGTTGGCGTCCAGCCAAATGTACTTTGTGTGATAGGGGAGCATCTCAGTTAGTGTATGCGAAGAGAGCTGCAAAAGAGAAGAACAAAAGGTGAATCGGTGACTTAGTAAGCGCATGCAACGCCTTTACATTTAGTAAGGAAAACTAAAGTCGACAATCAGCAATAACACCAGACTCAGGAAGAGACAATCTTAGAATCGAATCTAAAAACACAGTTCAACACCAAAAAGCTATAGGCGATCGTTAACAAATCCAATCAGTTATTTTACTGAGGATTTATCTGACTATTTGATATTTTGTTAATCTTTGCGAGAACTTGAAACAAAATG